GGAGGGATGGGTTAGTCAATGGATGGATGGATGGACGGACAGATAGAAAGATGAAATGTGGGGAGCAGAAGAGAACATTCATCCTGAAGTTCTGCTCTTTCTCCCAATAGCTGTATGTCATGTTTAACACCATACACTGGGGTGAACAGGGGCAGTAGTGACACATTTCCCCCCCACACACACCCCTCCTGTTTGCAACAGCTGATCAGTCCCAAAGCCTCCAGGTCTCTGGTCTTCATTCGACAATGGATGGATGGATGGATGGATGGATGGATGGATGGATGGATGGATGGATGGATGGATGGATGGATAGAAAGATTAAATGTGGAGAGCAGAAGGGAACATTCATCCTGAGGTTCTCCTCTTTCTCCCAATAGCTGTATGTCAGGTTTAACACCAGACACTGGGGTGAGCAGGGGCAGTAGTGACACATTTCCCCCACACACACCTCCTGTTTGCAACAGCTGATCAGTCCCAAAGCCTCCAGGTCTCTGGTCTTCATTCGACAGTACCACACCCTTTTCAGATTTTCTGCCAAAGGCAAATAGAAACCCAAGGCCGACCTAATGCAAGACACGCAACCTGCCTGCCTGCTAAAATGACCACCCACCCTCCCGTTCCCTACGAAGGCACTCGGCCCCCTCCCTAGAGGAGAGAAGCCCACAGAAGGAAGCCACGAAAAGCACACACTCACCAAGCCATCTGCTTGGGTGGAGCTCGAAATTCGCACATGAACTCGCCCAGTTTTTCCTGCAAGGAGGCAGAACGACAACCATGAACGGGGGTGGGGTGGGGGTGGGTGTTTGCAGAGGACGACAGATCAGCCAGTCACCCCAAGAGGCCCCTTGACCGTGGGGCTCCTCGTAAGGAGGAAGGGGGCATCTTTTTGCACACAGACAGTTCCAGAGGACCACAGCTCTGCATGGCAAAAGTTTAACTGGGTCCCAATCCCAGCAGTCCGCTAAAATGACTAGGAGTCGGGTGACGGGGAGCAATCGTAGAAGGCAGCAAAGGAGCTGCCAGGTAAGTTACAAGAAGGATCTACCTACTACTCCAAGATCCTCCACCTTCCTACCAGCGCCCATGCATCTGTGGCGGAAAACACTATTGGGTACGAGATTCCCCACTTCCGCTTAAAACCAACAGCCTTCCTACCAGCGCCCATGCATCTGTGGCAGAAGACACACTATTGGGTATGAGATTCTCCATTTCCATTTAAAACCAATAAAACAAGTTTCTAGACATCAAGGTTGCAAAAGTTACTCAAACACTGCAGAGGGAGCAGGAGGAGGAGAGGCGTTGATCAGTGCTCAGCATATTTTTTTACTCTGCCTCCTGATTAGCAAAAGGAAGAAGGGAGCTGAGAAGCAAGCAGAGGGCGAAAGAAGCAAATCTGTTTGTTCTATATAATTAAAAGAAAGCGCAAGAACCTGGACTGCTTTTGTGCAGAACATCCTTCCCTCAAAACTGAGGGGAAGAAAGTGGTGGCGTGGGTCTTGCCATCAGATTCACCCTGTCGTTCGGTTTGCCAGCAGGCAGGATTTTTCTCATAGCCACCTGCAGCCTTCCAGATGTTTCCAGACTCCATAGGCTACAAAGCTGGCTGTCTCTTTCCCAAAGCGATTCGGGCAAAGTTTCCCAGACAAGGCCTGCCACGACTTCTGCAATGTCTCCTCACTTTCAGGGGGCCGAGAACCCCAGGTCTCATGCAGAAAATGAATTCTAAGCAATCCCTCCGCTCCCGGGGAAATTTGGTTGTGGCTCAGCCTGAGTTCCAGCAGCTCACCTTTAAGTGGGACTTCCCAGTCCAGATATAGCCTGTATCGGTGAAGAGCGCCAGGTAGCGGTAATTGAAAGAGACAGCCATCCGCAGGTAGGAGCCGGCTTGTGGACTCAGCCCGGGCAAAGTCTGCAAGCACAGGAGAGAGACAAAGCCCTTCGAATGACCCACCTGGAACTCTGTGCTCCCACATTTGTTTGTTTATTTATTTATTTAATTTATCCCCCGCCTATCTGGTCATTTTGACCACTCTAGGCGGCTTACAATAGGGACGTGGTGGCGCTGCGGGCTAAACCGCAGAAGCCTGTGCTGCAGGGTCAGAAGACCAAGCAGTTGTAAGATCAAATCCACGCAACGGAGTGAGCTCCCGTCGCTTGTCCCAGCTCCTGCCAACCTAGCGGTTCGAAAGCATGCAAATGCAAGTAGATAAATAGGGACCACCTCGCTGGGAAGGTAACAGCGTTCCGTGTCTAGGTCGCACTGGCCATGTGACCACGGAAGATTGTCTTCGGACAAAAACGCTGGCTCTATGGCTTGGAAACGGGGATGAGCACGACTGGACCAAAAATGTCAAGGGGAACCTGAACCTTTACCTTTTAGGCGGCTTACAACATAAAAACATCTCTCTCTCTCTCTCTCTCTCTCTCTCTCTCTCTCACACACACACACACACACACACACACACACACACACAATGTTTTTATGTTGTATATGTTATGTTATATATATATATAGAAAGAAAAAATTATAACAATTAAGTTATTCTGCATTTGGTTTTAAAGCTGCAGAATTGAGCAAGAAAGGCTGACGTGACACCCGGGGAGACCAGAGGTCAAGTCTTGGCCACTCTGAAGACCCAAGACTGTTATTGTTCTTTCTCAGCCTTCGGTTACCCAAGAGGGCGTAAGCGATGTACGATTCAAAAGACAATCGACGGATCGGCAATCTGCCAGCAAAGGCTACCAAACAGGATTTTGGTGAACACTCAGAACTGAACCACAGAATGCCAGAACCGAAACAGGATTTTGGTGAAAATTCAGAACTGAACCACAGAATGACAGAACCACGGGTCTGGAAAGGACCCCCGCAAGGGTCACTGAGTCCAACACCCTGACAAAGCAGGCAAATCCACAACCAAAGGATCTCTGATAAATTTTAAAATGGTTTCATATGGTTCTGAAAACTGCCCTGAGATCTTGTAATGCAGGGAGGACTATAAATGTTTTAAATAAATAAGTAACTGAATAGGCATCTCAACCTCTATTTATAAACCTTCAATACAGGAAACCACACCACCCTTCTAGGCAGCCATGTGCACAAAACTGGTTAATTAAAAAAGCGCCAGTCAAAACCCATTTGGCGTTTGTGGGTTAGACGCTGGCTGGAATCCTCATGTAAATTATGCCTGTGAAAGGATGACATCACCAGCGGAGGAATTAAAGACGTCCCCCTCATCTCCCGTGGCTTCTCCAACTCAGGAGCAATCTATTTCATTGTGTCAAAGCTGTGGGAGCTGCAGGATGGAAGGAGGAAGTCTTTACTCACTGAAATAGCTCCATCAGGTAACATCACCAGCCTTTTTGCAACAGTTACTAAGAATTCTCCCGTCATCAGTCCCTTCATCTTCCTCAAGGTGTAAGGCGGCACCCCCTAACTGGCTCTACTGGCCACGAATCTGCCATCTGTGACCATTTAGCTTGTTAGCAGTAATGCTGAAGAGCTGGCATAACTTTTAATCCCATTCCCTCTGCCAACCAACTTGCCAGAAAGGATGAATATGACAGCAGAATGCCTGTAAATAGAACACAATCCTTCTCTGAAAATGGGGGTGCTTTGTTCTTAGCTTGGTGGGATTCAGGTCCTTTTTCAGTAACTAATGGGACTTTGGAAACCAAAGGTAGAAAAACCACCGATATATAGAATACAAAAGCAGTATCTTCCTTGCCCAGAAAGTTTCAGGGTCCAGCCAGCTCGCACTGTTTCTAGATAAAGTTTATTAACTTGCTAACGATCAACTGTCTATGCATAAATCTCAAAAGTGTGTCCCCTTCCATATGTTTTTTTAAAATTTATTTTAAAAGATGTCTCAGTCAAAATTTCTTCAGTACTGGGTAAGAGGCAAACCATTGGAAGCCTTTCAGAGCTTTGATATGGCCACCGGCTTCAGGGCTCAACAAAAGGAATGCAAAAATAAATAAATAAATAAATAAATCCAAACTTTTTGAAGCTATGGAGGAGCGGGATCAATTCTCCACTGTGTGTAGGATGGAGGTCTCTCATCAGCATTAATGGATCCCACCCCACCCCAAGATATATCACACACCACTGGAGAGCAGGTCGTGTTATCCAGAAGATACAAGTCTTGGCCGACAGCAAGAAGAACGATGGTCACTCTGTCTTGGCACAGGACGGTCCAACAGGAGGGGGGTTTCTGAAGACCTGGTAGGTTTTGGAGGTGATAGAAGAGAGACATCAAAAGCCAGAAACCTCTGCCAAAAGAAGCTCGGGGCTGTGCCTAGATTCCAGCAGGTCAGCCAGCTTCGGAGGGACCCATGCAGGATTGAAAACCTCAGCCCAAGGAGACTCCGTTTGGGAGTGTAAGGCCTCCCACTCAACACATTGAGAGGCATCAACCTCACACACCTCCCAAGAGCAACAACAGGAGACGTCCGGGCGTGGGGTGGCGGGGGGGGGACTCTGGTTGCACCCACTTACTCCCCGAGAGAGACGTACACCTCTCTGCAAGTGTTACCCGTTAACTGCAAAGTCCACACGCACAGCGTAACGACCTGCGCCTCCTATGACGCGAAGGCTTACCTGGCACCTCAGGCAGCCGCCGAAGCTTCAGGTCAACCACGTTGGTGGCCATGGTGAACCGGTGGGCTCCTGTGAGGATGGCCACCCCGGTGCCGTACTCTGTGTGAAACACCTTGGCTTCCAGCACCCGGTTCTGCAACACCTCCTGAAAGGCAAAGGGAGAACCCGGCCAAGAACCCATCGTTAATGGGGAGATGGAAGAACCCATGCTTGGAAAAATTAGGATTTTTTTGGGGGGGGCACTACAATGTTCAGCATGCCTGGGGATTTTTGGGAGTTGTAGTCCCCAAACCCTAACTCTTCCAAGCTCTAGAAAGAACGGTATTAACCATGCATGGCTGCAGCACCGGAATGACGGAAATTAGTAGCATACATTTTGCAAATGTTGAAGCAAGTTTTGTAAATCACATATTGAAAAAAAACACCCTGTCTTATCTACTGTAGTGACAGAAAGATCTCACAACAGATATGACTAGAGGGGTTAGATATACAGTGTGTCTTTTTTGGGGAACACTTACGTTGCCCATGCTGAAGCACTTCTTGAACTCACAGAAGAGGCTGTAGACAAGGACGGAGCCATCCTCCTGGACGCAGAGCAGGTCCTCGCTGGTCGTCCAGCCGAGATGGACCACCGGGCTGTTCTTCCACTGTGGTTAATAAGAGAGCAAGACCGACACATGCCTTGGTCACACCGCATTCCGTCTTTCATCAGGGAGATGCGGTCTCGCTTTCCAGGCATGCCTCAACACCTCAGCCTACGGGGGACGCTAGTTGGTCCACCATCCCATGGCAACATCACTATTTGTGAGAAGTTACGGATTCCAAAAGATCTCTTGTATGGAGAATTAGTGCAGGGAAATCTCCCCAGAGGGAGACCACAGCTGCGATACAAGGAGATCTGCAAGCGGGATCTGAAGGCCTTAGGAATGGACCTCAACAGATGGGAAACCCTGACATCTGAGCATTCAGCCTGGAGGCAGGCGGTGCATCATGGCCTCTCCCAATTTGAAGAGACCCTTGCCCAGCAGGCTGAGGCCAAGAGGCAGACCCGAAACCAGCAAAACCACGGAGCTGGACAGGGGACAGACTGTATTTGTCTCCAGTGTGGAAGGGACTGTCACTCTCGAATTGGCCTCCTCAGCCACACTAGATGCTGTTCCGAGTCCTCCATACAGAGCACGTTACCGTAGTCTCTCTCAAGACTGAAGGATGCCTAAAATTCTCATGTTCCTCTGAAATCTACGCATCAGCACCGAATCAAACAATAGAGTTGGACTGCTGGTCATTCTCAGCGCCGTTGACTAGGTGTAAAAATGCAAACACAAGCCAAGGAAGAGACGATATGAACAGATAAAGAGGTAAGGTCAACCGTGTGCCTCTAGGGAGGTATAAGAGGTTCTGAACAAGACACTGACTATTATTGCAACACAACAGTTATTGTTCTGCTACGCTGTTTGGAATGGATTGAAATAAAGATTTAAAATTTAAAAAGGAAAAAAAGAAAGAATTCTACTCTTTAGTAACTTGAGCCCATGATATTTGCTCCCAGCTTCCAAGAAAGCTGAGAACAAGGGTCTCCGCTCTTGCTCCGTGGTTGTCCGTCAGGAAAGGCGGTTGGCTTTCTCTCCTTCCTTCAATCATTTCCTACAGGACTCAGTCTTCACCTGTTCTGACTTTTCCTGCCTCTTTCTTAAAAGGCAGCAGCTAGATTAGGGCGGAGAGTGGGTAGGTTCTTTTGGACTACAACTCCCATCATTTGCTACACTGATTAAGGCTGATGGGAGTTGTAAGAAAATACCAACAAGGACAAAAGGGACTCAGCTGCACATTCCTGGTTCAGGAAGTTAGGAGTGGTCCCCAAGCACCTGAAATATACATACAACGGGGTGCTCCCCATTGGATTCCCTTTCAGCCTCTCACATTAATTCCTTGTCCGGCTTCATGCTATTTTTCCGACATTATTTCTCAACATGCTCCAAATGGCGACTTTTGTTCCTCCAAGCCCATCACTGTTTCTTCTTCGGTTCTACTACTCTGAGCAGCTCCAGACTCTGCTTAAGTCAGAGACAACTTGAACTAAAAGCAAAGCGTGCTGCTTGTATACCACCTCACAGAGCTTAAAGCCCTCTCTGGGCAGTTTACAATTCAATCATGCAGGCTACGCACTGCTCCCCCAGCAAGCTAGCTATTCAATTTACCAACCTCAGATGGATGGAAGGCTGAGTGACCCTCGAGCCGGTTCCTGAAACTAGGTTGTGAGCAGAGTTTTGATTGAAGAACTGCAGTTTAATTGCTGCACCACGAGGCTCACTCCCCTCTCTTGCTGACACCTACGCTTGTGAACACTCGCCCGGAACAACTACCTGGCATCATCATCATCTTTCAAAATCTCCTGAAAACTCAGTAGATCCTCTCCCTAGCCTCTCTCTCTTGCCCCCACTGTTGAATCGGTAATCTCTTTGAGACACAGAGCAGACTCGTTTCGGAGGGGACTTATCTCGCATCTCCCGATCAGGATAGATAATCGAAAATAGTTAACAAGGTGTCCTGGCTGCCAAAATCTGACCCATTTGGCACAGGGCACCATCCTACTCACCAGAATGCTGGCCAACAGGACCCCAGAGGCAGTATAGATTTCTAGAGGTGGCCGGGAACTGGGAGATTTCTCTTTCTTGTTTTTCAGCAAAGCTAGAAGGATAAAGACAAAATAAAAATATGCTAGAAGCTTCATGGCCACTTCCAGGACTTCCTCAACTCCCAACCCACATTGAATCCTCAAAACAACCCTGTGAAAAAGGCTAGCCTAAGAGAGGGGGAAAGAGACCGAGAATAGCTACATTAGAGAGTCATATGAGTTTGAGGCCATTTTAACTGACATGGCCCTGTCCTAAACAACGCCAGGGTTTGTATGAAGGGACAGAGAAATCTCTTTGCATAGTATTACTTATTTTCCAAACTACAAGCAGCCACATTTTATTGCTATATACAGTGATACACACTGCGGAACTCCTGTCCTGCTTATTCTCTATCATCTATGTACTCATTTATGTATTTAAAATATTTCTACCCCCCGCTTTTCTCCTTAAGAAGCACCCAAGAGTGGCTTACATCATTAGAAGACGGTGTTTAAAGCTAACAACAGTACGTATATAAATACTAAAAAGGATCAAACAAACACCACATTGAAAAACGGCAAACAAACATGCTTTTTAGCATTGATTCTATTTATCTTTTCTAATGTAACGCTTGTTTAATTCTTTTTAACATTTGTGTCGTTACTGATTTTAGATTTTTTTTATGGTCTTTTTAATGATGTAAGCTGCCTTAGGTCCTTTTAAGGAGAAAGGCGGAATAAAAACACTTTAAATAAATAAAATAAATAAACACCAAAATGCATTCAAAGCGATAGAGTACAACAATCTCTTTAAAATACCATTTAAAATACTCAACCAGACTGTCCCTCAGGGAAAGCTTGCCTTACCCCAACCCCCCAGAAAAAAAGGACAAAAATACTTTTTGATACACAGATGTTGTTTGATGTGGTTGTCTGCTGTAGTTCAGGAGGGTGTGCCCTTCATCAGGGAATCCTAAGCCTCTCCCCAAACTACAAGTCCCATGATTCCACAGGATGGAGCCATGGCAGATAAAGTGATAACGCACAACTTAAAATCACAGAATAATGGAAGTTGGAAGGGGACCGATAAGCCATCAAGTCGAATTCCCTGCTTATGTTGTTGTTGTTTAGTCGTTAAGTCGTATCCGACTCTTCGTGACCCCCATGGACCAGAGCATGCCAGGCCCTCCTCTCTTCCACTGCCTCCCGGAGTTGGGTCAAATTCATGTTGGTAGCTTCGATGACATGGTCCAACCATCCCGTCCTCTGTCGTCCCCTTCTCCTCTTGCCTTCACC